TTTATATTTACTAAAATAATTTCATTCTGTGTACTGTGGGAGACCAGATATAGTGCATGTACGGAAGGTGATAAGGAGTCTCCCATATTACAAACAAAAAGTGGCAATTAAAGTTATTTTTGTACTGCCAAAAAATATGATAAATAAAAATGCAAAATGCAACAATGGATGAAAGCATTTGTTCACCATTGCTTGAAGTCTGCCAATCAAAATAGAAAACTCTAGTGCTTTTGTATATGAAGAGAACTATGATTGATTTGGCATTATTGAAACTGGCCTTGTTCTTCAAATGATTTAGCTTTTAATATTTCTGGCTATGCTTTCTTTTGGAGAGATGGGGTAAAATGAAAAGGTGGCAATGTCTGTCTCTGAGTGAAAAAGGGATCCAAAAGTGAGCATGAAAGAAGAGCTTGTTGATGTCTCCATCAACATGGTGTGATGCGTGATGGTGCAGAGACATTGCGGTTGGATTTTACATACTGTATGGTTTGGCATACTGCAAGGGTAACTATTTAATGGAGCTCAAGATTAAAAGTACTACTTTTATGTTTGTGATTGCACCAAGCTATGTAGTTGAATAAAGTCTTTATGTTTAGTCTCCAGTTTATAAGCAAACCTTTTTGCACTGTTTGTGCATGTAAAAAATTAGGTTATAAGTTGATAAATGTAATGTTATGTGCTTGGGGGTAAAACCATTTATGCATCATACTTTTTTTGGGGACTACAACTATGGGAGTCAAAAATCTGGGAGTTCTGGTAGATAATACACTTAATAATGGCATGCAATGCCAAGTTGAAGTTTTTAAAGCAAGCAAAAATATTTTCCTGTATCAAGAGATATGGACTCAAGAGAGGAGGACATAATTTTGACCTCGTACAAATCATTAGTAAGATGTCATCTGGAATGTTCAGTTCACTTTTAGGCAGCAATTCACAAAAAGAATATTGGAGAACAGTAGAAAGCACAGAGATTGGGAAACCAAACAGAGAGAGACATGGAGGATAGAAAAGTTGATTAGGAGTGGTATGATCACTATGTATAAATATATAAATAGTTGGTACAAAGTTAAAAAGAACAATAAAAACAAGCGCTAGATGTCAATAAGAAGAAAAAGGCTAGCCGCTGACATAAGAAGTAAACCTCTGGAACTTCAAATTTAAAAACAGACAATATGCAGCACTGATTGCCAGAATTGAAAATCAAATAAGAGACATAATTATAAATTATGAATTAAGAACAACAAATTATAAAGTTCATGCAGGATAAACGTGACTTCTGTGATGTGTCAAAAGATGATAAAGCAGAATTTTCGTGACTCTTGTGGTAATGAGACTGGGTGAAGATTGCACTAAACGGATGCATAAGGAAATTATGCATGGAGTATTTAAGACCTACTCCTGGTGCTCTGGATGTGAGACACTGGAAGGGTAGTCGTCATCTTAAATCTCGCCACTAGATGTCATGTATCCCAAATCAATGGAAAAGCTCAGTGGATATCAGCATCAGCCACCAGGGAGATCATCCCAATCATCAGACAGCAATGAGCAGGAAACAATGAGCACAGCATTGAAGGATAACCGCCAACCGTCCTGAACTGGCCAAGCGGTGTGTAGTAGTAACTGGGGGGCACCTCACTGACGCGTTTCGTGTAATATACACATTCTCAAAAGGGGGCTTTTTTTTTAGGTACATACTGGTCCTTTAAGATCGGTATAGTTTTATGTGCAGATCTTCAATTTTTATTTTTAAGATGGAGATAAAATTATTGTAAAGATTATTTATAGCCTAGTATAATTGCTGGGCTTTTTTAGGTTATACAAAAGTTTGGTGTGATAATATGTTCCATGATGAGAGAGACTGATCACTTTCAATTAATTTTTAGTGATTTTTAATTATGGTTCCCAGCTCGCTAGGAGTTAATTCAGCAATGCAGTATAATTTTGTTTAGAGGTGGAGATTGCTATTAGCGGTCTATATGATGTTTTTGGTGCTGCATAAGTAATTATGCAGGGTATAAAATGTTAGCCAGTGGTGTCGCACGCCGGATGATGAAACGCGTAGGGCGAGGCCTCGGTGTTGACGTCACCAATAAAGCCTGGATGGTTTTACACTATATGGATTCCTTTTCTTCTTTCTTAATATCCCATTCTGGTTATCTGAGGAGCAAGTGCTATTTGAAAGAGTTTATGATCCCTCCTTGCTGGACCACCTAGGATACTGTAAGCTTACACTTTTGGATCATTTCCTCTGATGTGCATTTCCTACTTCTACCACTTGAGGGCGACCCCTCCTCATTTTTGCTAAATCCACCATGGTTCTGAAGGTAGTTTCTATGAATGCCCACGGTCTTAACAGCCCGTATAAATGTCATTCAATGTGGAAAGAGGCTCAATGGTTATGTAGTGACATGATTTGTGTTCAGGAAACACATTTTTAAAAAATTTCATTTTTGCTGTCATTGCTGTTTCAATGCATTTCACATATATTTTGTCCCTACTGCTTTGTCCTGTGCCCTGCCTGCATTTTGACTGTTCTTTCTGCCTGGAAACTTAGAAAAGTCCATGGCATCCAAAAAGTGTCCCTTTACGTCAAAAGCGGTTTTAGAACAGCGATAGTAAATCAGAACCACTTGCAGAATTGAATGATAATGATTCGTGGGGAAATTCGTCATCAGACACTGAAAACGATTTTGCGACTTTGCTCAGCGATGTGCGAATTTGCCTCTGTATTTCAAATTTCAGTGTTTTTGGTTTGAATTAAATTTATTATTATTATATTATTTTTTATGATTATTTATTAAACTATAATTTATGATTTCGTGTTTCAAGTTTTATCATATCCGGAATGTTTGCTAGACTCTTGTTCGTACAGATTTCAGTGAGTTATTCCTAAAAATTACAGCCTACAATAAAAAACCATATTTCCATGCAAAAAAATGGTACTGCTTTCAGCACAAAAAAATCGGAAAGAATCATACTGCCGAGGAGGTTAAAAATAACCCTAATACTCCTCAACCTACCCCAGAGCTAATTTGTCAATTTTTAGATCCGCTTTCACTACCTAAATTAGCACATCGTAAATTGGAAGGGCTTAATCAACCTATCCTAGAAAGCGAAATAATTGCGGCTATTAAAGCTTTACCAAAAGGGAAATCCCCGGGGGCTAACGGCTTTGCAGCGGAGTATTATATGGAATTTCAAACAATATTACTTCCTTATCTTAAAAAAACTTACGATGAAGCGGTAATTAAATCCACATTCCCATCTGAAATGTTAAAAGCTATCATCGTCACTCTACCTAAACCAGGGAAGACTCCTGACCGTCCTCAAAACTTTAGGCCAATTTCCCTGTTAAACACAGATCTTAAAATATACGCCAAAATTATAGCAACCCGACTATTAAATATTACTCCTCTTCTTATTCAGGCAGATCAGGTGGGCTTTGTTAAGGGCTGACAAGCAGCAGATGGAACTCGTAGAATACTTAATTTGATGCATTTGATTGAAAGATGAGGGCTTCAGGTGGTGTTTTTGGCATTGGACGCCGAGAAAGCGTTTGATAGAGTTCACTGGCAATACTTAGACGCTACTTTAAACAAATTTGGCATCAGCGGCTTTATAAAGTCTGCTATCATGGCATTATACACAGTCCCTACTGCCCAAGTATTTACATCTAATGCCCTGTCGGATCCTTTTAGTATCACCAATGATACAAGACAGGGATGCCCCCTCTCGCCCATCATTTTTTCATTGGTGATGGAACCTCTAGCGACTGCAATTAGAAATAATCCACGAATCTCTGGCATTCAAGTAGCGTCTACATCCCAAAAAATTGGACTGTTTGCGGACGATGTTATACTAACTGTTACTGACCCAGTGAACTCCCTTACAGAAATCTCAACTTCCTTGCAGTCTTTTAGTGAAGTTTCCTACTATAAACTTAATATCACAAAATCCTGTGCTCTACCAATAGCTATAGCGAAGGGACCCCTAAACAATCTCAAAGACAAATTTCCCTATCAATGGACACATAAAAATTGGACTACCTAGGTATCTGTATATCAGCTCCATCCTCTAATACATTTAAAAATAATTTTGAACATTTGTACCAGTCCACTATAACAGAGCTGCAGCGGCTCGACAGATTTGAAAACTTCATGGATAGGTAGAATAGCGGCATTTTAGATGTTAATATTTCCTAAAATATTATATTATTTCAGAACTATCCCGTTTCTTATTCCTCAGGCTTATTTTCATAAGCTGGAGATGGCCTTAAAAAGATTAATCTGGAAAGGGAAAAAAACGCGGATTCCATTTCTGTCCCTTACTAAACATAAGTCTAAAGGATGAATTGGTCTTCCAGTACTTTCTACTTACTACTATGCAATAATTTTAGATCAACTCCCAGAGTGGTTTGTCCCGTCAGACAAATTATGGGTACAAATAGAATAGAATGTGGTTCCCAATAGAGATTTACGGGCACTTCTATTGGCTAGATCTGTTACATCAAAACTTTTAACTACATTTCTCCCATCTATTACCGCTACATTGGAAGCCTGCATAATAGGCCTAAATAAAGTATCTAATTCCTTTCCTAAGCTTCAAATTGATATCCCACTATTGGCTTATGAGTATTTTATCCCAAATCTTAATACCAAACCTTTAAAGGATCTTGGCTACAGTACCTTTGCTGGAATAGAAAAACCTATTCCGAGTAAAGGTCTACACCCTTTCTTGCAAATAAGAGGATTTCACAGAGCTGATCTACAGACATGGCTTGAGATAAATTCCAAACTATGGCATACTTTATCTAATCCTGTTAGAATGAAAAAAGGTATTTCTTGGTTTTATAGGTTCTTACACTATGACTAGAGATGAGCGAAGTTTTCAAAAATTCGATTCGGCTGAATTGGCGAATTCGAGGAATAAATTCGATTCGATGCGAATATATTCGCTGCGAATTTAACTTATAAAAAGGGTTTCTAGGCTTCAGAGAGCCTTTATATTAGTGCAGAACACTGTACCTTTAATTTAAATGCCTTGGAGTCTGCTGGGGAAGAGAAATAATACTGTCAGTCAGTATGACATGCAGATGAGTGCCGTCGATCTTAGAATCACCGCACACTTCACTCATTTGGGCAGTCACGGGGCCAAAACCAGAGTGTGGAGCCACAGTGTGGCGGTGGAGGCAGCAGCAATGGGAGGCCATACAGCACCCTATGACAAAAATGGAACCCACCAGCAGTGTGAGGAGACCTGAAAGTGGCACATGGCAGAGTGTGGCGATGGAGACAGCAGCAATGGGAGGCCGTACAGGGACCCATGAGACACTCTGGACCTGGCAGCAGCATGAGGAGGCGGTACGGGGGCCCATGGCAGATTACGGGCCTGGCAGCAGCAATGGGAGGCCCGTAATCTGCCAGCACCCTATGACAAAATGGAACCCACCAACAGTGTAAGGAGACCTGAAAGTGGCACATGGCAGAGTGTGGCGATGGAGACAGCAGCAATGGGAGGCCGTACAGGGACCCATGAGAGACTCTGGACCTGGCAGCAGCATGAGGAGGCGGTACGGGGGCCCATGGCAGATTACGGGCCTGGCAGCAGCAATGGGAGCCCGTAATCTGCCAGCACCCTATGACAAAATGGAACCCACCAACAGTGTAAGGAGACCTGAAAGTGGCACATGGCAGAGTCTGGCGATGAAGTCAGCAGCAATGGGAGGCCGTACAGGGACACATGACACACTCTGGACCTGGCAGCAGCATGAGGAGGCGGTACGGGGGCCCATGGCAGATTACGGGCCTGGCAGCAGCAATGGGAGGCCCGTAATCTGCCAGCACCCTATGACAAAATGGAACCCACCAGCAGTGTGAGGAGACCTGAAAGTGGCACATGGCAGAGTGTGGCGATGGAGACAGCAGCAATGGGAGGCCGTACAGGGACCCATGAGAGACTCTGGACCTGGCAGCAGCATGAGGAGGCGGTACGGGGGCCCATGGCAGATTACGGGCCTGGCAGCAGCAATGGGAGGCCCGTAATCTGCCAGCACCCTATGACAAAATGGAACCCACCAACAAGTGTAAGGAGACCTGAAAGTGGCACATGGCAGAGTGTGGCGATGGAGACAGCAGCAATGGGAGGCCATACAGGGACCCATGAGAGACTCTGGACCTGGCAGCAGCATGAGGAGGCGGTACGGGGGCCCATGGCAGATTACGGGCCTGGCAGCAGCAATGGGAGGCCCGTAATCTGCCAGCACCCTATGACAAAATGGAACCCACCAACAGTGTAAGGAGACCTGAAAGTGGCACATGGCAGAGTCTGGCGATGAAGTCAGCAGCAATGGGAGGCCGTACAGGGACACATGACACACTCTGGACCTGGCAGCAGCAAGAGGAGGCGGTAAAGGGGCCCATGGCAGAGTGGCGAAGCGTAAGCAGCTTAAATTGAAGGCCATACAGAGGCCTATGTTAAAAATAATAACATGTTTGGGGCATGAATCATGGCGGATTTAGTCAGTTGTGTCAGGAACTGGTGGTTTGAAATCCAGGACTAATCCACGCCTGATTCATTTTCACAAACGTGAGTCTCTCCACACTTTGGGTGGACAGTCGTGTCCTCCGCGGAGTTACAATACCTCCTGCCGCACTAAACACGCGCTCCGATGCCACGCTACTGGCCGGGCATGACAGCCTTTCAAGGGCAAATTCAGCTAGTTGGGGCCAAAGGTCAAGTTTCGTTGCCCAGTAGTCAAGGGGATTGTCTACTCGGTTGGCAGGGTGCTGTCCAAGTAGGCCCGAGCCTGTTGTTTGAGGTCCTGCTCCAGGTCACCTGATGCTGCTGCTGCTGCGGGCTGGTTAGTAGTTTCCTCACTGCGCTGGTGAAGAAAGCTACTCATCATCGACTGCAGACTGAGGCAGCTGCTGCTGGTGGAGCTGCCACTGCTCCTACCACCCCACCCCTCCCCTGCTGCCATGGCAGCGGAACGCGAGTGCACAGGGCCCACAGTGTCCTGAGGATGGACGTTGGCGCAGAAAGGCAGAGACCAACAGACTACATAGGTGGTTTTTATAGTACGTTTATTTTGGCCCTCCCTCTCTAGCAGGTGTGAAAAAAAGGCCACCATTTTTTGAACGGTAGCGAGGCCTATGGGGTGTCCAACAAGGTGGACAGCCAAAAGTCATCCCTCTGTCTGATGGTTATTATTCGGCTGTCGTACGCCCTGACCCGCCATTGTTAACAGCATTTGTTCCCGGAGTTTCAACAAGGGGGAAAGACGTCGTTCATCCCATAGTCCCGCCGATCCGAAAGCGTGGCCTCCTCAAAAGGGGTGACAAGCGGGCGTGTCACCATGAGATGCCAATGGCGACATCTAATTACAAGGAGTACCTTTACCCCTTTAACATCAGGAAATCGGTGATGGCCCTTTTGCTGTTCAAAGGCGGTTTAACTTTGTAGGGGTTTAATTCCCTTTTTGCAACGTCCCCATGAGGAGTCGGTACGGGGCCCATGGCAGAACGGGCCTGGCAGCAGCAATGGGAGGGGGTAATCTGCCAGCACCCCATGTCAAAAAATTTAACACACCGCAGTGTGTGGGAGACCCGAAAGGGTGG